ATAGAGCAACACCTCCACTAAAATAGCTGAGAAAAGAAATTCAGTTTAATGTGCTGAGTATTTTATATTGTATTCTGCAGCCAGGGTTTTTAGCAATGAGGCCTTATGCATATAAAAATGGGGATAAATAATGCGATGCAGTAGAATTTGATTGGATTACTTTGTCCTTTTGCATGTATGTGTTTTATTAAGCAGGTGCCAAAGTGATCAGTAACCCTCAAACACCTCAAATTCCTCCAGTCTTCTCCCTGAAGGAGGCGGTTCATATTATCATGCAGCTCCAAAGACATCAGATCTTGTCTTATTTAGTTTGGTCACTCCTCCTGTGAAGTGCCCTGTGGGCATTTTACACTGCTAAAGGTGCTATATTAATGCAAGTTGCTGCACGTCATCATATTGACCTTTCACTATGTATCAGTCTACGCAGTAAGCATTGGCATCATGTTGAATCAGGGAGTGGGTGATCACAACATGCCTTCACTCTGTCCACGCATATATTTATTATTGCAAATTGTAGTTCCAGGAGCAGGTACCTGAGCTAATTTTCCATCTTTATCTCAGGAGCGTCTGGTCTAATTATATAACATCACATATCGTCTGACTGAGAGCAGCTGCTACAGGGTCATCTGCAGATCGAAGCTGGATCCTCACGGATCTGTCAATTCCACAGACCATGCATTTACCAAATGAAACAAACAGGCCAGCTAAACAGTCAGGATAATTACATGTAAAATAGTGTTACACTAAATTTTTCATTTTAGTTTGGTGGGAAATTTTTTTTAAACTTATGTAGAGCGCACTTGAAAACTGCCAATTATGTCATGTGAGGTGCCTTGTTGAAAAGGCCCTTAGCAGGAAAGAAGCATTAAATTAACAGATCTGTTTTGGGTTGCTGTGATTCCACTGATGAGTGAGTCATTGTGTTAGTGTTAACATTTAGTTTCACAGTTCTCCAGAAAGCTAAAACAATCTGAATACTTTGTGGGCAAATACCATATGTGAAATGATTCATTTAATAAAGATGCGACTTTACAAATAACAAAAGAAAAGTCATGGGAAGAAAGTTGATAGCCGTTGGGAACATGTTTTGGTTAAAAAAAAACACATCAAAGTGAATAATCAAGCTAATGTTGGATACCTCCATTTTAAGTCCTGGAGTTCAGTGACATCCATCAGGCCTTACATTCCTGCTAATTACTTTTCAGGACATTTTTTTGGTTTCCAAATTGGTGCAATGATTAGAACAGTATCGAGAGGACCTCACCTTGATAAAATAGTCAGATACTGTGCTTATATAATGTTGATCCAGTCTGCAGAGAGCAGGGCCTGGTACAGAAATGATAAAACTGCTCCTGGCCTGGACCCCCAGCCCCTGATCCCTAACCCAAGCAGCCCTGAGTCCCAGTTATTCGGTCCTGATGTACCTCACCAGCTTCGGCCTTGGTACACAATGGTTTAGTGGTATTGGGAGGGTGAGGTAACCACAGGTAATTTGTCAGCAGCAGTATGCTCCCACTGCTAAGGGAGACCATCATGTATATCCTGACATCTTTCCTGCTGCCTGGGGTGGCACCCCCACTCCCCTCCGCCTGCCCAATCTGGCTCAAAGTGACCCACAGGAGGACTGTTCCACAACAGCACTCCCCACAATCATCAACCATCCCCCTCCCTCCCACAGCAGTCTGTGTGAATGGCTCCAGTGACCAAGATGCCTCCTAATTCCATTGCTGGGCTTACTCCACTGTTACTGTTCCTTTCTAATTGCAGTCCCTGGAGTGGCCACTGCAACTGGTGGTGCTGCCGGGACCAAAGAGCAATTCACCGGCAGATCTTAAGGGCTGGAATGCTGTCTTTAAAGAGACTGGAGTCCTGATACTTGGAAAGGAATGGAAACAGGTCATGGCTCCCATAACTGAGACTTCCTCTGCGTGTGGATAGGTCCAACACTGCCACCTAAAGTCTCAGCCCAGCATTGCATCAGTGGAGGAAAGTGACCTTCTTTGCAGGACAACAAGGTGCAGGGCTGGATGAACACAGCATGGCCAAGCAGCATCATAGGAGCAGAAAGGCTGACGTTTCGGGCCTAGACCCTTCATCAGGACTCCATGAAGGTCCCAGGCTATTCAGCTAAGGTTGACACCCACTCGCTTTGGCTAGCCATTCTAACTCATCTATTTTATCATGTTGAGATGGATATTTGTCACAGTGGTTGCTAGCTGCTCAGAGAAGAACTAAGTGTGGACTAAGGCTCTTGGCGTCTCCAGGGCTGGGAGGAAGCACAGCAGATTTGGGAATGGGTGTGGGAAGTTCTAATTGTGATTGGGGTAACAGGTTACTGAACTAATCAGTGAAGAATCAACTGACAGTCCATCAACACCAGCCACCTCTGAAAAATGTTAGTTGCACTTGAATTTCATAGTTTGATTTAACACTGAGCAATTCAGAGCATTTGGAAGCTCAACCTTTGAGTGTTAGTAATTGTAAAAACATCAGCGTTTTCCTGGAAGTCCTATTGCTTTTTCAATGTAAGCATTGTTTAAGTGGTATGAACATACAATGGGAAAGGGCTGGAGACTGATGACAGCCTGATTCCTTTGGAATTACATGGCAGAGCGATAATTCTCAAATTCTCTGACTCTGTACGTTAAGAGTATTTTCACAGTACAACATCTTTAGAAATATATACAAAATCGTTTTTGTATAACTTTGACAAAGTGTAAGATTGAGAAAGCTAGAATAAAAAACGCATTTCTGGAAAAAAAAAATTGTACAAGGTGTCCCTGATTTTTCAGGCACTTCGTAATGCAATTAATGGCTCAGCCACACGGACCACGGTCTGACCCTTTGTCTGAACTGGGGTAAATGATCCAATTCAGGCCAGTGCTCCTGTATGACAATGGTCACAGTGCCCCTTGGATAGGAAGAATAAAACTTCAGAGCAGGTTACTACCTCCGGTCATTTGGTATATTTTTGTGTGTTAGTTGCTGTCACTTTGGATTAGAAGGTTTGGGCTTGAATTGCACACAAAAGTTTCAGTGAATAATCTAGGTTTGGATTCCAGTGTAATGGTGCCCTGCCAGAGGCTAGCAGCATCATTCCCTGAATTAGATATTACAGTGAGGCCTTCCCTAATGACCTGGGGTTACAAGATCCTGTAACCTCAAGTGACAATGTACAGGGACTTATCCTGGTGGCTTGATCAAAATCCTTCCCTCATATCGACACCCCTTAGGACACAGTGATTAGTGTCATGGCTCCCTGGATGGTGGCAGTGCACAGTTTGTCCACATGACAATTAACAAACTTCCAAATATAATTCATTGTGTGAAGTTCTTTGGAGAGTCCTGCCTGAAACACGAGCTGTATAACAGAACTGCATTCTGTTTTGAATTCCAATTGCTCACCAGAAAGTTCATGTGACTGGACATCAGGCACTCAGTTCCCTACCAATACTCACTGGTCGGACAGGAGTGAGGCAGTCACTTCTGCCAAGTACCAGAATGGTAAAGGTGCCTCCAAATCCCTACTCTAATTTCAGTCACTATCAATCACAGGAAAGAAGAAGAAACATAGAGATTAATACTTCAACTGCTGTTAAATTTCACAAAGCTAGCATGACAATCAATGCCATTCACTTGTGGCTTTCACAGTAAATTAATTGTGTTTAACAAAGATTCGATTCATTCATCACCAAAAGTGAATAACCGGGATAGTACATTGTTCAGCACATGGCAACACACTCCCATTGCTATGCAACACTGTATCCTTTGACTCACCACAAGCAATGTCACATAAGATCAAATCTACACTTAAGGAAAAAATACTTTGAAGTTAAATATTCATGGGCTAGTTCCTAATCAAGAACCACCATTTTTGTGATGTTTCCAGGGTGGAACATGCAAATATTCTGTCACATTTTTCAGCTGCCAGCGAACCCTTCTATTTTGCTAAACAAGTAGGCAGTGTTCTTCATATGGCCAACTATGGAAGATCTATAGAAGAAGTAAGCTAAACGTCTCAATCTCCTCTGTCCAAGCTTTGTTTTGTTTCTGCTTCTCTCCTGCTATATCCATGCCAGTGCATTTGTGGGCTTTCCTATTAGAGAATTTCAACAAATAAGCCTACTCAATGATACCCTAATACTGACATATGTGCCCAGTTACCGAGGGCACATGTGTGCCATACCAACAGCAGATTTTCACAAGACACTGGCAGAAAAGTTTAAGTACTTTGCTGCAATTTTCTGTCCACTGCTACTAGTGTGAAGAAAACTTCAGGAAAGGCACCTAAGTTGTTCTGATAAGTCAGTCACTGTGTGTGTGAGGTCCCGCCAGCCTTCAGTGGTACTCACATGCTAGTTCACTGCAAGGGTCTCATAATCAAGCCTGAGCTGTTCTTTATTTGATGCCCATTTGTACATACTTGCCTTAGGGGCTGCTAAGTTTTTTTTTCCCTCAAGTCTAAAGAAACTGAGGGGTTATTGTGCCTCTGGATTAGAGTATAACCTACACAAATAATCCATCTAGAAGGACAAGGGCAGCAGATGCATGGGAACACCACCAGCTTCACGTTCCCCTCCGAGCCACTCACCATCCTGGCTTGGAAATATATCGTCATTCCTTCACTGTCGCTGGGTCAAAATCCTGGACGGCATTGTGGGTCAACCCATAGTAGGTGGACTGCAGCAGTGCAAGAAGGCAGCTCACCACTACCTTCTCAAGGGCAGCTAGGGGACTGACAATAAATGCTGGCCAGCCAGCGACACCCACATCCTACAAAATGAATAAATTAATAAAAAGATGCTGCTGAACATTTATGAAGTGAAGACTATTGCCTGATTAAAGTCTGTTCCATTTGTTCTACAAATATAACCTATGAACTTTATGGGATCTTAATGTACTTGCTGGTTAGTTTAATGACAGACTTTCAATCTTACAGGGAAAATATACACATCTCATTTGCAAATACTTAAAAGAGAGTTAATAATTGACTGGCTTACCCTGGAACTGGCCGACCTGTTGAACAGGATATGGATTCCTCTGCTGGTCTTTGCACTGTGGATGCGTTCTGGGGAGATGCCTCTGCATCTGGTCGTGCTGCTGCTGATCGAAAGAAGGAAAACAAACCCATTAATTTTTGCCATTACAGATTGCAGGGAAATCAATGCTACTTTGTACTTGTGTAATCACTATTTTCATAGTTTAAAACCACAGCAATGGTTACAATCTCCAGTGAAGTGGGAATGTGTCCGCAGTTTTTTTTCAATTTCTCCAATTTTTTATAAAATTCTTTCCAGCATGGTCACTAAAATAAAGGTTACTTGGTTTTTCTACTCCTCTTGTATTAGTTTTCCTTTCCAAATCAAAATGTTATTTATATGGCTTACAAAAATTTGGGAAATGAAAAGAACATAGGTGTCAGAACCTAGCTGGAACAAAACGAAACTTACAGTATCACACTTGAGCTTCAATCTACTGAGTTCTGGCAATGCTACTACACGACTTTCTTCACTAGTACAAGCGGAGTGAGACCTCTAGCAGTGGTGGTTTCAGCGTTGTGGCACTCTGCCAGCTGCAATACGTCTGTGAGTTAGCACCAACTCACCCCCTCAGACAAGAACCTGTCATTAATGTTCATGGATTTTTTCAGTTAAGTTGGTTTGAGACAGCCCATATAAGATAGTTGCAACTGTTTTAAAAAGCACTGGAATGCAGCTTTTCTGAGCGTGCACTGCTATGTTTACTAGATGACATGGAGAAACCCCACTTCACCCACAGATCTGACGTTTCCAGCTACAGTCGTAGCCGGAGACCTGGATAGCTCTTGTGGAATTTCCAGTCCAAAGTGTTTTCCAAAGGTGTTCTTCTCTCTATTTGCTTCTCACCCTCCAAACCTCTTCACTTGTTCTCTGATGGTGGTGTCTTGTGTCTGCGAGTGCCACTGGCGAGAAGGACAAGGGCAGCATAATACATGGGACACTGACACTTTCAACCTTCCCTCCAAACGATGCCATCCTGACTTGAAACTGTATTGTCATTCCTTCACTATCACTGGGTCAAAATCCTGGGACTTCCTCCCCAGCTGCACTGTGGGTGGACACAGTCATCATGGAGTTCAAGAAGACAGCTCACCACCACCTTCTGCTGCCAATGAGGGATAGGCAACATATTTGAAAACGCTTGGACAAAATACCACTGAGTAGTAAAATTTTACTAACTGTCCCTCAACCTTTCCCAACTCTCAGCTCTCCACATGCTCAACCCACTTTGAAATTGATGGTCCCCTCTGTTTTTTAACACTATGCATAGACAGCGGGAAAAGTGATAGCTTCCGATTTCGGTCATAACATACCGCACTCCCCTGGTGCTGTCCCTTCATTCCCTCTTCCCCGGCCATTAATTGGGTGGAATATCCATCTCTGGGGTCGTTAAGACCCTGACCCCATAAAAGTTACATATTATGATATGCTGGAGGTTATGGCCTAACGGTATTATTGTTGGACTGCTAATCCAGAGACCCAAGTAACGTTCTGGGGACCTGGGTTCAAATCCTGCCACGGCAGATGGTGGACTCAAAAGTTTAATGATGACCATGAAACCATTTTCGATTGTTAGGAAAAATCCATCTTGTTCACTGGTGCCCTTCAGGGAAGGAGATCTGCCATCGCCACCTGGTCTGGCCTACATGTGACTCCACACCCACAGCAATGTGACTAACTCTTAACTGCCCTCTGGGGTGGGCAATAAATGCTGCCTGAGCCACAATGCCCTCACCCATGGATGAATTTTGAAAAAAAAAACTAGAGAGGGAACCACGGTGATAAGTCAGGTTTGGACTACCTTTCTCACTCCCTCCAACAGGAAACTCCAGTCTCACTTCACCCAATAGTGCTTTCCAGTGAGATGAATTATTCAGAAGAAAAGTACCCCCCAACCCTGGGAGATTGTAGCAAACTACAACATTCACACCATGACTCCAGTTAAGGTTAGCTCAATTAGGGGTTGAATCTTCCTGATTTGCCCATTGGACTGTCAGATGTGTGATGCTCTTCTCCAGCTGATTTCAGTTTTAATACATTAAAATTTCTTTGAACTTTGCTTCATCAACACACATGGCCACTGTTGCTCACAAACTGATAAGGCAGGCTATTAGACAATTATGTTGGACTCAACCACTGGTTAATTCACTCATGCAAATTCATCTTGAGAGGCCTTGTTTAGATGAACAGACAGATTTTGGAATTCCTACTTTCCCAATTGGGTAGCTTTCATCTTTTCCCCCTTGGGCAGTAATCTTGTGGAATGGATTACCCTTCATGTAGACAACCTGCCTAATCTTTGTTCCGTTGATATCGAATGAAAGACTGGTGATCTGCCCTGCCAGGTTACTGCAAAGCTTAACACCTACCTTTATATGTCTGACCTTGTGGCTTTTCACTCTCAGGCCGCTTGAGTTGGGAATTACTGTAGTTTGGCCCAACCACCTCAGATTGGAGGTGTCCAATGCCGAAATAGGCTGCTTACATGTGGTCTTCCTCCATTCTCTTGGACTTAACTTTGTTAAATATTAGGTTTCAGCAGCCCTCAACCCTCACCTCCCCACCCACTCTCCAGGCTCTACCCATGCCTACTTTATGCCCCCCTTCATCTCCATATCTACATTGAATCCCATGCCAAATCATGTCCTCACCCAGCCCTGTGATCCCTCATAGTCTCAATGCCAACTCATTCCTCCCTAACCATCTTCGATCATCCAATGACACCTTAATGCCAACTTATGTAACCATGCCAACATTTTTGGCCTTTACCACCTCCATTCCAAATCACACAGTATCCTCCATGTGCAGACCTCACAATGATGTTAAGATAAAGCAAAACTAAAAAAAAAATTCCAAGTATATTAAGCAAAACAAAAATTCCATTCATTAAGGTCCATCCAAAACTTTTAAAAGGCCCTTCAGCACTTACTCACTTATCAAAAAATACAAGATTCATACTCATAGCCCACATTAATGGCAGCGATTGATTTATTGGTCTGTTTGAGCTGTCAAGCATTAATAATGACAGCTTATGGGGTAGTGACAACAAACAGCTAATATAACTGCTAAAGCAGATCTGAAGAAGGGTCCTGACCTGAAACATCAACTTTCCTGCTCCTCTGATGCTGCCTGGCCTGCTGTGTTCCTCCAGCTCCACACTTTGCTATTTAAAGCTGCTAAAGCAGATCTTTTTCAAAATTAATGACATGGCAGGCTGGAATTTTGGGCTAGGAATGTAGGTTACATCATTGCACATTTTAGCAATTAATACATGTGATGTATGTGAAAGGTCAATCAGGCTTTGAAGCTTAATTAGTTTGTCTTTTAAATGCTTCCAGCGTACAATGTACTCTCGCTAAGTTCATGGTTCACACAAATATAGGTGGGAAGCCAGCTGGAGAGGATGACACAGAGAGTCTGCGGAGGGAAATAGACAACTTAAGTGAAGGGCAAAGGCTTGGCAAATAAGATTAACTTTGGCAGGAAGAATAGGGGAGCTGAATATTATATAAATGGAGAAAGACTGTGCAAAGTTAAGGAACAGAGGGATGACGAATCACAAAAATCTAGCATCCGACTTCAGCAGTAATAAGGATGGCAAATGGAATTGTGGCCTTCATTAAAAGGAAATTGAGTATAAAAGTAGGGAGGTTTCACTGAAACTATACAAGGCATTAGTTAGACTTCAGCTGGAAAACTATGAACAGTTTTGGGCCCTTAGCTAACGAAAGATATACTGGCATTGGAGGAAGTACAAGGCAGGTTCACTTGGCTGATACCAGGCATAGATAGTCTACCTGAACTTACTGGAAAATAGAAGAATAAGAGGCGAACTTATTGAAACATACAAGATTCTGAGGGAACTTGACAACGTAGATGTGGAGCAGTTGTCTCCACATGTGGTAGAGTCTAGGACCAAAGGGCATAATCTCAGAATAAGAAGTCATACATTTAAGATAGAGATAAAGCAGGAGTTAGTTGTCTGAACATGGGGAATTTATAGAATTCTTCACTGTAGAGGACTGTAGAGGCTGGGTCATTATGTATATTCAAGACAGACAGATTTTTAACCAGTAAGGGAATTGGATGTTATACAGAAGAGGCAAGAAAGTGGAGTTGAGGATTAACAGATCAGCCATGATCTCACTGAATGGTAGAATAGACTCAAAGGAGCAGAATTAGTCTATTAAGCCCAATGTCTTATGGTCTTATGATCACATCTTGAGAATTTTTAAGGTTATTTGTTAATTTTGAAAGGGTTTGAGATTTAAATAATTTGACAGCCTGAAAGTTCTCATACTTTAACTGGCCTTCATGATACATCTCCTCCATAAATGTGAGACTCACAAGGCTTTTGCTACAGTGAAGGTGGGGTTTGTTTAACTTCAGTGCTAAATTCAAATAGCCCTGCTGAATCCTCATGTGTGAATCACAGCCTGTCCCTTTCCCTACAAGTGATCAAGGGATGTGTTGCAAATTAGCTTTTCAGCTCCTAGTCCCGTTTATCACTTTTAAAGGTCAGTCAAGTCTGCATGACTCTGTGAAAATCTGGCTTATCTGCTCCTAGGTAACTTTTCTTACTTCTGCTCTGAATTCAGCCCATCTCCTGGTGAAACCTTCATTCATGTCTTTGTTACCTGGAGTCTAGACTATTCCGATGACTCAATGAAACTTTTATCCTCTACTTTCCATTCAATCAGCTTATCCAAAGTTTTTCCACAACATGTTCCACTCATTCATCATGACTGCTGTTGCCACAGAATTGAAATTCGCTTCCTGATATTGCCAAGTTTTCATGGTCTCACCCCTTCTTTACTCTGCATTCTCTGCTAGAGATCTGTCAATTCATTGTAATGGAGCCTGGCATAACTACTTGACAGTCTGGCATAACTACTTGACACTCTGGCCTCTTGAGCATGGCCCCTCCCTATACCACAGCATTAACACCATACCTTCAGCATGCTAAGCCCCATATTGGGCCGCACAGTGGCTCAGTGGTTAGCACTGCTGCCTCACAGCCCCAGGGACCCAGGTTCGATTCCATCCTTAGGTGACTGCCTGTGT